CAGTCCCTTTTCTCGATTGTTTCGTCACTGTATTTCCCTAAGCTAATCCCTGTCATTCCCCTCTAATGGCTCCCAACCGTCGCCTCTGGGTTCCACTCTGTTTCCCGCCTATTATCATGCAAACCCTTTTCTCCAATCACTTCAAAAGCCCTGCATCCCGACCAATCCCAGTGGAGGCCTATTTCCACCAATTGGAGACCTTGGTTTATCTTTGAATTGGGGCAATTTTTCGGTCATTACAATTGTACACAAATCCTTCTTGTCATTTGACTGCTGATGTAGATGCAGAGCAAAAACTTACAATTTCACATTCGGGTGGTCAAGCCAGACAACCACGTTAGCGGTAAACGCATTGCCCTACAAACCCGACGACCCGAGATAGATTCCCGCTCACGGCCAACACTAGTAACGGTTGTCTGAACCGTTCCTGGACCTCTCCTAGGTCAACTCAGCCTCAAATAAATACCTGGTTTGGGGTGTGTTAACATCGTAACTTGGGAGACAAAGGTGGCCGGGCAAGGTGCTGGTCACCCACTCCTTCGTGTCCCGTGCCGGCCATCATAGATGCTCGCTAACATCACTTGCCCCAACAGTCTGTTAAGGCTATAAGGGGGATATTTTTCTTTCGGATTGGTGACCTACACCTGCCACTAATTTTACCAATAACCATAAAAAATCGACCCTGTACCCCAGAGTTACAGGCGTTTATGACGCTTTCTGGGCTGTACCCCTCCAGAAACAGGAAACCGCTGTGGTTGTCCACGTGGAATTTTCTGAAAACTCACTACAGAGGAAAGGCTGCCATTCCTTTGACGGGAACTGGACCGGACCTCTGTGCAATACAGCAGGTCCGGTGGACTGGTTCTGGCTCCAGCATTCATGAAGGCTGGACAGTCCTCCACTAGGGGCAGGAGAGTTGAAGAAACTGCCAAATAACAAAGAGTGGCTCTGCTTCCGAACAAAATAAGCGTGGAGGCGAGTTGTGGTGGTGGCTTACACTCTCACCGAAGATGAACTTCAGTGGAGGTAAGCAGACAAGTCCGATGAGTCAGATGCCTTCTATGACCTGTCCCGTGTGCTGGCTAAATTGCCCCCTCGGGATAGAGTCATCATTTTATGCTCGAGTGGGTCATAACAGAGGCACCTGAGCTGGAGAGATTGGAAGGCATGGGCGAGATCAGCTCAATAATAACGGGAGGTTGCTCGACTTTTGTGCAGCCCATGGGCTCGTAATCACTAACACGCTGTTCGGGCATCGGTGCATCCACACAACATTATGGATGCACGGCGGGTCCAAGCCAGAACATGCTGGACTACGTCGTGACGAAACGGAGAATACACTCCCATTTCCTTCGCACCAAGACCTCCTTTTGGAGCCGATTTTCCCATTGGCCATCTGATCCATCACCTGTAAGATGCGCCTGCCATTTTTCCACTGTGGTGGTGGGCGTCCACTTAAGACTGCATTCAAACCCACAATGGTCATGCGCTCGGCTTGCTGATGAAGGCTGCGAGTGTGAATGTCATCATCGCTTGCAGCGGGCATTGGCATCAGCATCGTCCATAAGAGGGTTTTTTTGGCTTGGATTGCGTAAATATGAACGTGTTTGTTAAAGCCGCCACCACCACCACCAACCGACAGCCAATCAGTAAGGTTTGTCATGTAAACAAAAGATGCCAATTCGTTACTCGTGCAGCGAACCGGTGTGTTGGAGAGTAAACCCACAACATTTACGATTCGAGTACGACGTTTCGTCGGTAATTACAACCAGCATCATCAGGCGACAGCCAGAATTGTGGAGAAATCCTCCTCCTGTTTCAGTCTTAGAGGTGGGGGTAAATGTGATGTCATCACTCGTGAGCCAAACAGGTGCGAAGGCCAGAGGTGGGGGCCATATAAATTACACTTTCAAGCACGGGGCCCTTGAAAGTGCGGGACCCGTAGCTACGACTACACGTGTAGTAGTGGCTACGACTACACGTGTCTAGTAGCTACGACTACATGTGAAGTCATAACTACGGGCCCTGCACTTTCAAGGGCCCCGCGCTAAATGCTTTCAAGCTATCAACTCCGGTTCAGTGATTCTGCACTTTTGCCCCAAGGGGTTTGATGAAACAAAGTAAGTTGCACTCACGTGCCCCGTGCTTAATTTGTGTTGTTTATATTTAAAGTTGCGCATTTTGATGTGACGTCACATTTCTCAAACCCCACCCCCCCCTTGTCACACATCGTCACAAATGACTGACTCCCCTCCCCTCCCTAGGTGTGTGACGTCATTTATGGACGGCCCCTTACGTGCCCCTGTGTTTTCCATTTACCTTCTAATAGAACCTGGCCATGTGTCGCGCACCCAGCGGATGCGTGCAGCCCATGTGAAGAAGAATCACTGGACGTGATCCACGTGATGGGGGTTCTGCAGGATTAGAAGGGGGACCACACCGATTGTAGGGGGGTGTGGGGGGGGGGACCACACCAAATAGGGTGTGGGGGGACCACACGACTTGTAGGGGGGAGGGGGACCACACTATTTGGAGGTGTGGGGGGGACCACACCAATTGTAGGGGGACCACACCGATTGGGGGTTGGGGGGCGGACCACACTGATTGGGGGGGGGGGAGCACCCTGTGGCCATGTGTGTAACAGCAAGACACAGCAACGACGAGTTCATCCGATGACTTTTATAAAGAGTAGAAAAACGCCACGCCCACGCAAAGCGAAGCTAATCCGAGTTTCATTTAAAACCACCTCAAGTCGCACACGAAATATGAAGATTCCTACCCCCGTATAACCGAATCAGCCTGTGTGGGGCCTAGTTCCGCGAGGTACCCAGCCACCTTTGTCTTCCCAGCAGTGTTGGTTATTTACACCTCGCACCTGGTACTCATTTATGGCCGAGTTGACCTACAGGAGGTGGTGGCCCAAATCCGGTTTCAATATTTGCCCCCTTGGATGGATGCTGGGCCCTGAGAGGGAATCGATCTTGGTTCGGGTTCGTAGCGGAGTGTGCTAACCACTGCGCCACCGGTCCATAAAACAAAGACCCCCATATAGCCTGTAACAGACTGTAGGGGCAAGTGCTGTTTGCGAGCAGCAGCTATGAAGGCCGGCACGGCACACGATGGGGTGGGTGGCCAGCACCACGCCCGGCCGCCTTTGTCTCCCTAGTGGCGATGCTTCCACACCGCACCAGTTACTCATTTGAGGCTGAGCCGACCTATGGGAGGCCCATAACTGGTTCAGATAATCGTCACTGGTGATGGCCGTGAGCGGAAATCGAACTCGGGTCGCCAGGTTCGTAGCGGAGTGTGCTAACCCCTGCGCCACCGCTCCGTAGCAACCCCCGCCATTCGCCACGAAGTGGTTGGTGATGTCTCAAGGGCGCCTGTGCCAGGCTAGGTGCACTTTGAAGCCACGTGGAGTGTCGAAGGCTCGCTGGCAAGGGTCAGGGGAAAAACCCTGCAGGTGCCATGGGTTGACTGAGATGACTGGCAGATGCACCCCCTGTTGCCCCCAACTGTGCCCACCGTCCATACACACACACACAGACACGCGCGCACAGACACACACACACACGCACATTGTACTTCTGTCTCTAAGCTCAACGTGGTCCCACAAATTGGTCCTCTGATCAACCCAGGTCGTTATGAACACCGGCGTGACGTCAACTCCTCAAAGCACGTCACTTCCCTTCGTATTAAAACTCACGCACACACTCGCACGCAAGGAGCTGCTAGACTGGTCTAAAAGCAAGGGTCTCACACAATGGAGTGTGGGGTATAAGAGGCCTGTGAGTCCTCGTGCTCACGCGTGGGTTTGTCTGTTGAGCCGCAGTCACCACTGCAGGCAGCAGCAGCAGCTACTGAAGGGGCGTCTAGAGAGGTGCGCGCCAGAGTGTGCACCTCAACCTGAATGACCACATCTTTAAAAAAATGATCGTCAACTTGCAATGCGGTGCCACTGCCGCTCGCTCAATGGCTCGCGTGCCCGATCGCCTGCCCGCCCGCCTGCCCGCCCGATCGCCCGCCCCATTGATCGCCTGCCCGCCCGATCGCCCGCCCCATTGATCGCCTGCCCGCCCGCCTACCCGCCCGATCGCCCGCCCCATCGATCGATCGCCCGCCCGATCGCTCGCCCGATCACTCGCCCGCCCGATTGCTCGATCGCTCGCCCGCCCAATCTGTCGCTCGCCCGCATCCGGAAGAAACCAGGAAGGGCAGCCGCAGCAGCCACACGGTGGTGAGCAGACGCCGTTACGAATTGCCCCAAGCTCTGCGGTCCTCTGTATATATATAAAGGTGTTATCGACCGATTAATGGCGACTGTTCACACGTGATAGGAGAAAAAAAACCCGTTGCGTGCAAAGGGGGGAACTCTCTATCCCGCACAGATTGAACAGGTGGGAGTCCACGCTTTTGCCACACTTGCCTTCACCTGGCGAGCCAGGGTTCGGCTCCTCCTCGTCGCCCACGGCGGAGGAAGGGGGTGGGGTTTCGCAACATCTGTGTGCGTGCGACCCACCAACTCCTCCCTGCTGCTGCCTCCAGTGCTGGATGACAACATGCCACGTGCGACATCATTTTTTCCATCAGGATGATCGATATTTTCAAGTGTTAAATTATAAGTTGTACGGTAAATGTATAGAATGGAAAAAAATAAAATACAAAATCCTCGACTTACAGACTTTCAGAGATATACGAAAAAATCGTCCGGGTGGCCAGTTGCCTGTTTGGACCGAGAGTCGTGAGTTCAACCACCGTGCAACAGATGGCGGTGGGAGCATCTACATCTGCAGAACGTGAAGAACCAGTGGCATCTATATCTGCAGAACATGAAGAACCAGTGGCATCTACATCTGCAGAACGTGAGGAACCAGTGGCATCTATATCTGCAGAACATGAAGAACCAGTGGCATCTACATCTGCAGAACGTGAAGAACCAGTGGCATCCATATCTGCAAAAAATGAAGAACCAGTGGCATTTATATCTGCAGAACGTGAAGAACCAGTGTCATGTACATCTACAGAACGTGAAGAAGCAGTGGCATCTACATCTGCAGAATATGAAGAACCAGTGGCATCTACATCTGCAGGAGATTATACAACTTTTAAAGCCATTCCCTGTGTTTAGTGGACACGCCGTACAACTCGTTTGGAATTGACAGGGGTAATAAAGTTGGACTTAAGAACAAATCGACTTACGAACAGACCTCTGGTACCCAACTCGTCCATACGTAGAGGAGTCCCTGTAATGTATTGTGCAATATTGTATGCGTATCCGTGTACAGTCGTGTGCACGACAGGAAGAAAAATCGTGCAGCTGAACCTCACTGCCTGCTGGGGGGCTGGGAAAAAAAAACGTTATTTTAATTTTACCAGGTAAGGTCAACTGAGCTGTGTAGCTCTTTGTCAGAAGAGGCCTGTCCACAAACGATAGCTCAACCAAGTGGCTTGTCATCATCGTGTGGCAATGTATCGCAGCCAGGTACTCAAAACGCACTTTTCTAATGCGGAGGGAAAAAAACTGGAGAAAAAAATCCACGCGACCAGGAGGACAGAGATAACGCGCAAACTCCAAATATGCAGCAGCAGCAGCAGCAGGCGTCAGGGTCGGGATCGAACCCACGACCTCCTGTACGCCAGGCGAGGCAGTTAACATATCCGAAACACCGCGGCGCCTAGCTTACATAACCAATCTCACACTCTCACACTCGCCCACCCACTCTCACCCATCCACTCACTCTCACACTCATACACACCTCCCGCATACCGGACGAGGTAGTCAACATCTCCCAAGCCAGCGCGGCAGCCTTTCGCCCCACGCAGGCCTCTAACCCCACTCCCAACCCCCTGCCCCTTACCGCCCCCCCTCCACCCCCCGCCGCGAGTGGAGGCAGCGGTGAGTCAACCGTGAGAGGTGGCGGGGGGCACGGGGGAAAGGGATGGGGGGGCTCCGGGGGAGGAGGAGAGGGGGGGGGGGAGGGGCGGCGGCGAGGACGGCCCCCCGGAGGCGTGCAAGAGCGGCGGGCCCCCGTCGCAGAGCCCCCCTGAGGGCCGCGAAGAATCCGTGGTAGCGCGTCACGTTGTGGATGGAAAGCAGCACCCCGGCCAGCAGCTCCCTGGTGGCCAGCAGGTGGTGCAGGTAGGCGCGCGAGTGGTGGGCGCACGTGTAGCAGGGGCAGCCGGGCAGCAGTGGGCTCAGGTCGCCACGGAACCTGAACCGAAGGTGGGGGGGGAGGGAGGGTTACGGCAGAGACACGGCAGTCGCCATCGGTGGTCGCGATCGACGATCGGCGATCGCTATTGACGGAGGACCCGGAGAAAAATCCAAGCGACCCATCACGAGGAGAGAGTGACCGATAGATGACACGCCCCCGAGCAATATTCAAGGCCACGGGCCCCCCCAGGATTTTGTTCGTCTGCTGTTCAAGTGAAGCAGCACAAATATCGAGAGAATCCCTTCAAAAATATAACCGGTGTCTCTAAAAGGAACAACACTTCACCCTCAAGCTTTGTCCTCATCGGACTGCGCACGAGCGTCACCGTGACACCACGCGACAGACGGACGCTCGTTGCAGAGATGTTCGTGGCTTGAACCCGGCAGGCCACCCCTGGTTAATACTTCAGCTGCATATTGCCCCGTCCACTCCACGCCTGTCGCGACGCTCACAAAGGCCGGCGGGAAGCCATCGTGTGTCGCTAATCCAGAGTCGCCCAAATTGTATTAATATATTTAATTACCACAAACTACTGAATTGGGATTTCACACACACACACAGCAACCACATCGCCCCCTCCCCCCCCACCCCGCTACTGGTAGCAGACGAACATCATGCCCCGCTTGCAGTGCCCTCGTCACCTTGTGCCACACAGGGACAGCTGCCACTGGGCGTGCCCGAGGCTAGACCACAGAGCGATCATCCACCATCACGCTCCTACCGGTAGAAGAATGCCAGACTGCAGGCTCAGTTGCCCGAGTAAACTTTTGACAGCTGCAACTGGGGGTGCCCCCTTTCAAATCTTTACTCCCTCATCGTGGGTTCGATCCGGACCCTGATGCCTGCTGTGGTCGCGTGGATTTTTTCCTCCGGGTCCTCCGGTTTTTACCCTTCACATTTTGCAACAATTTGGCTGCTATAAATTCCCACGTGATGATCTGCCACTTCGTTGAGCTATCGTTTGCGGTAAGATCACTTCTGAAAAATAGTTATATAGGCTCAGAGGGCTCCACCTGGTAAGATTTTTAAAAAAAGTTTAGTTTTAGTCGTAGATTTTTTTTAAAGTAACTTCATTACTTTGCACTCCTATCGTGTTTTTGCGTCGTGTTTGTTGTTGTAGCGTTCTGACCTCCGTGCCCCTAATGGAACATTTGTGAAAAAAGAGCTTAATAGTTATCCGATTCCCCCTCCTGCAGTCTAAATAACGATTCTGATTTTAGGAAAAGGAAGGCGCTGTAATTGCCTCTCTTCACGCAGGTTCATCTCGAATCGCGTGGGGATGCGGACATCCTCCTCCTCTTCATCCTCTTCATCCTCCTCCTCCTCCTGCGTCACCTCGGGGATCACGCTCCCCCCGGCGTCGTCGCCCTCCTCGCCCGCAGCGTCCCCAAGCGCTGCCCCTGTGCACGGTAAAAGCCGACATCAGTTCACCAAGGCAACTCCGGCCGTCATCATCGCAGCAGCAGCGGCGGCGGCAGCTTTTGGCTCGGCCGTCGAACAAAGACGCAGTCGCGCTTTCAGATGCGCTTATGCGACCGTCTGGAATGCTCTTTCCTTCAAATAGTAGGAAGCCACTGGAGCTGTGCGCTTTTAGATCATCATCGTCTAGATTGACAAACTCATTTCTTCAGAAGTTTATTTTTGTGTGTTAATTTGTTGACCTTCCACCCCGCACTTCGGCTTAGCACGGTTGGCTACGTGAGGTGCGAAAGACGTTCAGCATACAGACACACACATATACACACACATACACACACACACACATACACACACATACATACACACTCATACACACGCAAACATACACACACATACTCACACACATACACACAAACGTAAAAAAGATCCCCCATATAGCCTTAACAGACTGTAGGGGCAAGTGCTGTTAGCGAGCACCTATGAAGGCCGGTAATGGTACACGAGGGGGTGGGTGGCCAGCTCCACGCCCGACCACCTTTGTCTCCCTAGTGGCGATGTTTGCACACTGTACCAGGTACTCATTTGAGGCTGAGTCGACCTAGGGGAGGCCCGGGACCGGTTAAAATAATCGTCACTGGTGTTGGCCGTGAGAGGGAATCGAACCCGTGTCGCCGGGTTCATAGCGCAGCGCGCTAACCGCTACACTATCGCTCCCCACACACATACAGACACATACACACACACACACGTACACACATACATACACACACACACATAGGACACACAAACACATACAGACACACAAACGCACACATGTACACACATACATACATACACACATACATACACACACACATACAGACACCCACGTACGACTGAGATCACACAGCAGCAGCAGCAACTTTGCCCACGACTGCACGGTGAGCCGTGGTGATGTGACGTGACAGTGTGACGTGACAGTGTGACGTGACAGTGAGCCGTGATGATGTGACGTGACAGTGTGACGTGATGGTGTGACGTGACAGTGTGACGTGACGGTGTGACGTGACAGTGTGCCGTGATGGTGTGTGGTGTGCCGTAACAGTGTGTACCATGACAGTATGTCGTGACGGTGAGTACCGTGACGGTGTGACGGTGAGTACCGTGACGGTGTGATGGTGAGTACCGTGACGGTGTGACGGTGAGTGACGTGATGGTGTGACGGTGAGTGACGTGACAGTGTGATGGTGAGTGACGTGACGGTGTGATGGTGAGTGACGTGACGGTGTGACGGTGAGTGACGTGACGGTGTGACGGTGAGTGACGTGACGGTGTGACGGTGAGTGACGTGACGGTGTGACGGTGAGTGACGTGACGGTGTGATGGTGAGTGACGTGACGGTGTGATGGTGAGTGACGTGACGGTGTGACGGTGAGTGACGTGACGGTGTGACGGTGAGTGCCGTGACGGTGTGACGGTGGGTGCCGTTACGGTGAGTGCCGTGACGGTGAGTGCCACTCCTCACCCGTCTCCCACTCGTAGGAGAAGTGGAGAGCTCCGCCGCGCTCCGTCACCAGGAAGGGGAAGTGGCTCTCAAAGAGGTCCACGCCGAGCGCGGCACAGCGGAGCACTTGGTCCGGACGTCCCACTCCACACACCATGCTGCTCACCACGACACCACACACACACCATGCTGCTCATCACGACACCATCACCACACACACACCACGCTGCTCACCACGACACCACACACACACCACGCTACTCACCACGACACCACACACATACCATGCTGCTCACCACGACACCACACACACACACCACGCTACTCACCACGACACCACACACACACCACGCTGCTCACCACGACACCACACACACACACCACGCTACTCACCACGACACCACACACACACCACGCTGCTCACCACGACACCATCACCACACACACACCACGCTGCTCACCACGACACCATCACCACACACACACCATGCTGCTCACCACAACAACCGCCATTCGCCACTAAGTGGCTGTGACGTCACCATGACGCTTGTGCCAGGCTATGTGCACATTGGTGTCGAACGCCCGCCGGCAGGAGGTCACGGGGCAGACCCAGGTGCCACGGGTCGACTGACTGAGACGACTGGCTGATGCACCACCTGTGCCCCAAACTGTGCCAACTTGCTGTGCTTTAGCCACCCGGCGCTCCGCTTGTTGTTGTGAGCGTCGCTCCTCCGCCCTCCGTTGTTGTTGGAGGGCGACTGCCTCTAACTGCCCAGTAGCATCCTTCACGAGCCTCCTCCACCGAGGCCGATCTTGACACCGCTGGTAACGGTCATCGGCAAGTCCATCTCTTCTCTAGCCCGTGCTGCGCCCGTTTAGCCCCCCTCTATCCGGCCAAACAAAAGCTGTTTAGGCATGCGGTGACTGGGCATGCGGGCTACATGGCCCAGCCAATGCAGCCTTGCCTGCCGGAGCTCACCAATGGAACTTTGTCTAGATCTTTCAAGGATTTGTGAGCTCCTCACACAATCCAGCCTGGTTAAACCCAGGATGGATCGTAGGCAGGCCAGCCTAAATGTTTCTAACCGGCGAAGATGTTCCATTAGGGGGGGTCCACGTTTAACAAGCGTAGAGAAGGGAGGGAATGACCATGGCTGAGAAGACCTGAAGCTTCGTGCGGAGCAACAGACCAGGTAGCTTCCACACAGCGTTATGCAACTGATGAAAAGATAATGCCGCTCGACTGATTCGGTTGAGACCTCTGCTGTCAAACCAGAGCCGGTCATGAGCACACTGCCCAGGTAAGGGAATCTCTCCACTGTCCCCACAATTGCCCCATCATCAATTGGGAGTTGTGGGGGTGGAGTATCCGATGGTACAAAATACCCAGGCAGGTGCTTAGTTTTGGTGGGGCTGATGGTAAGGCCCCACCTCTTAGTGGCAAGCTCCAGGTTCAGCAGCAGCGCCTCCAACTCCTCCTCTGAGTGACCAGCAATTACCAGATCATCGGCACACAAAACGTGGTTGACCAATAGGGAGGCATCCCTCGACCGCAACCGGGCATGGATCAGCCTCCCATTGTATCTGTACACACACCATGGTGCTCACCACGACACCACCACACACACCATGCTGCTCACCACGACACCACCACACACACCATGGTGCTCACCACGACACCACCACACACACGATGCTGCTCACCACGACACTACCACACATCGTCCTGGGCCTCTGCTAGGTAGACTCAGTCCTAAATGAGTGCATGGTGTGATGTGTAAAAACACTGCCACAAGGAAGCCCATGGTGGCCTGGCGTGGTGCTTGTGTTTGCGTGCGTCACCGTGGTCTGTGTGTGTGCAGCGTGCGTGTGTGCGTGTTTGCTGAGCGGTGGTGCAGTGGATAGCGCACGCCGCTACGAACCAGGCGACCCGAGTCCGATTCCCGCTCGCGGCCAACACCAGCGACGATTATTTGAACTGGTTCCTGAGTCTCCCCTAGGTCGACTCAGCCTCAAACGAGTACCTGGTGCGGTGTGCAAACATCGCCACTGGAGAGACGAAGGCGGAAGGGTGTGGAGCCGGCCACCCACCGCCTCGTGTGCCGTGCCGGCCTTCATTGGCGCTACTCGCTCACAGCACTTGCCCCAACAGTCTCTTAAGGCTACAAATAGGATCTTTGTCTTTGTGTGCGTGCATACGCGCATGTGTGTATGTGCGTGTGCGTGTGCAGCTCACGTGTCTGTGCGTGTGTGCGTGTGCGTGTGCGCGTGTGCGTGTGTGCGTGTGTGCGTGTGTGCACACGCGCGTGTGTGCACACACGCGCGCGTGTGTGCGTGTGTGCGTGTGTGCGTGTGTGCACACGCGCGTGTGTGCGTGTGTATGTGCGTGTGCGTGTGCAGCTCACGTGTCTGTGCGTGTGTGCGTGTGTGCACACGCGCGTGTGTGCGTGTGTGCGTGTGTGCGTGTGTGTGTGCGCGTGTGTGCGTGTGTGTGTGCGTGTGTGCGTGTGTGCACACACGCACACACGCACACACGCGCGCGTGTGTGCGTGTGTGCGTGTGTGCGTGTGTGCACACGCGCGTGTGTGCGTGTGTATGTGCGTGTGCGTGTGCAGCTCACGTGTCTGTGCGTGTGTGCGTGTGTGCACACGCGCGTGTGTGCGTGTGTGCGTGTGTGCGTGTGTGTGTGCGCGTGTGTGCGTGTGTGTGTGCGTGTGTGCGTGCGTCACCGCGGCTTGTCTGGCGGCAGCTCGGCGATGACGGCGCGCAGGATGCGGCTCCGCGTGGCGGCGCCGGGCCCACCTTCCCCGCCCTGCCGCTGGAAGAGTCCCGACACGAGGAAGCCAGCGACCGCGCGGGTGGCGGTGCAGCGCGCCGAGCGCACGCGCTCCGACATCAGCGCACCGCCCTGCACCGTGCCCAGCACGCCCACGCCGCTCAGCTCCTGCACCGCACGCACCGCAAACATCACGATCACACGCAGCGCCACACACACACACACAGCATCACACACACACACACAGCATCACACACACACACAGCATCACACACACACACAGCATCACACACACACACAGCATCACACACAGCGCCACACACACACACAGCATCACACACACACACACAGCATCACACACAGCGCCAGACACACGCACACAGCATCACACACACACACACAGCATCACACACAGCATCACACACACACAGCATCACACACAGCGCCACACACACACAGCATCACACGCAGCGCCACACACACACACACAGCATCACACACAGCGCCACACACACACACACAGCATCACACGCAGTGCCACACACACACACACAGCATCACACACAGCGCCACACACACACACAGCATCACACGCAGCACCACACACACACGCACAGCATCACACGCAGCACCACACACGCACAGCGCCACACACACGCAGCACCACACATGCACAGCGCCACACACACGCAGCACCAGACACGCACAGCGCCGCACACACACAGCACCAGACACGCACAGCACCGCACTCACGCACACAGCATCACACACAGCACCAGACACGCACAGCGCCACACACACACGCAGTACCAGACACACACACAGCATCACACGCAGCACCACACACACACACACACAGCATCACACACAGCACCAGACACGCACAGCGCCACACTCACGGCACCGCACGCACTGCATGGATGATGATGACGCACGCACCATACACAACAACAACAACCGCCATTCGCCACTAACTGACGGTGACATCACCACGGCGCTTGTGCCAGGCTATGTGCACGTTGAGGCCACGTGAAGTGTCGAATGCCCACTAGCAGTAGGTCACGGGGCAGACCCAGGTGCCACGGGTCGACTGACTGAGATGACTGAGATGACTGGCTGATGCACCACCTGTGCCCCCTGTGAGCGTCGCTCCTCCACCCTCCTTTCTTGCTGGAGGACGACTGCCTCCAACTCCCCAGTAGCGTCCTTTACGAGCCTCCTCCACAGAGGCCGATCTTGACACCGCTGGTAACGGTCATCGGCAAGTCCACTCAGCTCCACATCCTCTTGTACCACATCACTCCATCTCTTCTCTAGCCCGTGCCACGCCCGTTGAGCCCCCTCTATACGGCCGAACAAAAGTTGTTTAGGCATTCGGTGGCTGGGCATGCAGGCTACATGACCCAGCCAAAAAAGCCTTCCCTGCCAGATGGACTCACCGACGGGACTTTGTCCAGATCTTTCAAGGATTTGTGAGCTCCTCACACAAGCCAGCCTGGTTAAACCCAGAATGGATCGTAGGCAGGCCAGCCTAAATGTTTCTAACCGGCGAAGATGCTTCATTAGGGGGGTCCACGTTTCGCAAGCATAGAGAAGGGAGGGCATGGCCGTGGCCGAGAAGACCTGAAGCTTCCTTTGGAGCAACAGGTCAGGTAGCTTCCGCACAGCGCTACGCAACCGATGAAAAAATGCCGCTCGACTGATTCGGAGACCTCTGCTGTCAAACCGGAGCCAGTCATGAGCACACTGCCCAGGTATGGGAAACTCTCCACTCTCTCAACAACTGCCCCATCACCAATTGGGAGTTGTGGGGGTGGAGTGTCTAATGGTACAAAATACCCAGGCAGGTGCTTAGTTTTGGTGGGGCTGATGATAAGGCCCCACCTCTTAGTGGCACGTTCCAGGTTCAGCAGCAGCACCTCCAACTCCTCTGAGTGAGCGGCAATTACCAGATCATCGGCATACATAACATGGTTGAGCAATAGGGAGCCATCCCTTGACCGCACCTGGGTGTCGATCAGTCTTGCATTGTATCTGTACCAGATGGAAATTCCTCCGATACAGCCATCACAAACTACGTGATTGAAATATATGTTGAATAATGTTAAATAATGTGGGAGCCAGAGGACATCCCTGTCGCACCCCAAGGTGAACAGGGAATGGTGCCGACTCCCGGCCACGTAGATTTACCCGGGCCCAGTCACCATCATAAAGGTCCTTAATGATCGTGAGCAGAGAGTCAGGGACTCCAAAAGCACAAAGAACAACCCAGAGCCCAGGCCTACTGATGGTATCATAGGCCTTGACCAAGTCAATTAAGCAGAGATGCAGGTCTTGTTGGAATTCCTTACACCGCTGCTGTAGAAGACGGATGTAAAATATGGCATCTGTGCAGGACCGCCCTTTCCTGAAACCGCATTGGGGCTCCGCAAGCCTCTCCTGAGCGTGCCTGGCAAGGCAATGTTGAATAATCATTGCCAGGACCTTTCCTGGCACACTGAGGAGTGAGATGCCCCTGTAGTTGTTACAGTCTGTGCGGTCCCCCTTCTTAAAGAGGGAGAACCACCAGGGAATCCTACCAATCCTGGGGAACCCGTCCAGTGGTCCAGACTGTTGTTATATGTAGGGCATTCTGTGCACAAACGCCACCCTCCCTCAGGATTTTGCTGCCCGGTGCCTTTCCTGGTCTCAGACTCTGGATCGTCTTCAGTACATCCTCAACAGATGGCACCTCAGCCAACCACTCACAGGGGGTGACTACTTCTTCCGATATTTGATGCACGGCAGCCTCAGCAGGGTCATCCCCACTTTGCCCCATGATGTTTTCCAGGCATCTCACATACACACACAGCACCACACACACACACACAGCACCACACACACACTCACCACACACTCTCACCACACACATTCACCACACACACTCACCACACACACTCACCACACACACTCACCAGACACACTCACCACACAATCTCACCACACACACTCACCAAACAATCTCACCACACACACTCACCACACACACTCACCACACACTAGCCACACACACTCACCACACACACTCACCACACACACCACACACTCTCACCACACACACTCACCACACACACTCGCCACGCACACACCACACAGCAACAGCACACACAACACCGTATACATCAACTGCACAGTTAATGAGTGGTGATCGCTCAACGGGTGAGTGGATTGTGTGGTGTGTGGTGTGTAGTGAGTGGTGTAGTGAGTGGTGTAGTGAGTGGTGTAGTGAGTGGTGTAGTGAGTGGTGTAGTGGTGTAGTGAGTGGTGCAGTGGGTGGTGTAGTGAGTGGTGTAGTGGGTGGTGTAGTGAGTGGATTGTGTGGTGTGTAGTGAGTGGATTGCGTGGTGTGAAGTGGGTGGTGTAGTGAGTGGTGTAGTGAGTGGTGTAGTGGGTGGTGTAGTGAGTGGTGTAGTGGGTGGTGTAGTGAGTGGATTGTGTGGTGTGTAGTGGGTGGTGTAGTGAGTGGATTGTGTGGTGTGTAGTGAGTGGTGTAGTGAGTGGTGTAGTGGGTGGTGTAGTGAGTGGATTGTGTGGTGTGTAGTGAGTGGTGTGGTGAGTGGTGTAGTGGGTGGTGTAGTGAGTGGATTGTGTGGTGTGTAGTGAGTGGTGTAGTGAGTGGATTGTGTGGTGTGTAGTGAGTGGTGTAGTGAGTGGTGTAGTGGGTGGTGTAGTGAGTGGATTGTGTGGTGTGTAGTGGGTGGTGTAGTGAGTGGTGTAGTGAGTGGTGTACTGAGTGGATTGCGTGGTGTGTAGTGGGTGGTGTGTAGTGGGTGGTGTAGTGAGTGGTGTAGTGAGTGGTGTAGTGAGTGGATTGTGTGGTGTGTAGTGAGTGGTGTAGTGAGTGGATTGTGTGGTGTAGTGAGTGGTGTAGTGAGTGGATTGTGTGGTGTGTAGTGGGTGGTGTAGTGAGTGGATTGTGTGGTGTGTAGTGAGGGTGTAGTGAGTGGTGTAGTGGTGTGTAGTGAGTGGTGTAGTCAGTGGATTGTGTGGTGTAGTGAGTGGTGTAGTGGTGTGTAGTGAGTGGTGTAGTGAGTGGATTGTGTGGTGTGTAGTGAGTGGTGTAGTGAGTGGATTGCGTGGTGTGTAGTGGGTGGTGTAGTGAGTGGATTATGTGGTGTGTAGTGGGTGGTGTAGTGAGTGGATTGTGTGGTGTGTAGTGAGTGGTGTAGTGGGTGGTGTAGTGAGTGGATTGTGTGGTGTGTAGTGAGTGGTGTAGTGAGTGGTGTAGTGAGTGGTGTGGTGAGTGGATTGTGTGGTGTGTAGTGGGTGGGGTAGTGAGTGGATTGTGTTGTGTGTAGTGAGTGGTGTAGTGAGTGGTGTAGTGGGTGGTGTAGTGAGTGGATTGTGTGGTGTGTAGTGAGTGGTGTAGTGAGTGGTGTAGTGAGTGGTGTGGTGAGTGGATTGTGTGGTGTGTAGTGGGTGGGGTAGTGAGTGGATTGTGTGGTGTGTAGTGAGTGGTGTAGTGAGTGGATTGCGTGGTGTGTAGTGGGTGGTGTAGTGAGTGGATTGTGTGGTGTGTAGTGAGTGGTGTAGTGAGTGGTGTAGTGAGTGGATTGTGTGGTGTGTAGTGAGTGGTGTAGTGAGTGGAGTAGTGGATGGTGTAGCGAGTGGATTGTGTGGTGTGTAGTGAGTGGTGTAGTGGGTGGTGTAGTGAGTGGTGTAGTGAGTGGATTGTGTGGTGTGTAGTGAGTGGATTGTGTGGTGTGTAGTGGGTGGTGTAGTGAGTGGTGTAGTGAGTGGATTGTGTGGTGTAGTGAGTGGTGTAGTGAGTGGATTGTGTGGTGTGTAGTGGGTGGTGTAGTGGGTGGTGTAGTGAGTGGATTGTGTGGTGTGTAGTGAGTGGTGTAGTGAGTGGATTGTGTGGTGTGTAGTGGGTGGTATAGTGAGTGGATTGTGTGGTGTGTGGTGAATGGTGAAGTGGGTGGTGTAGTGAGTGGATTGTGTGGTGTGTAATGAGTGGTGTAGTGAGTGGATTGTGTGGTGTGTAGTGAGTGGTATAGTGAGTGGATTGTGTGGTGTGTAGTGGGTGGTGTAGTGAGTGGATTGTGTGGTGTGTGGTGAGTGGTGAAGTGGGTGGTGTAGTGAGTGGATTGTGTGGTGTGTGGTGAGTGGTGTAGTGAGTGGATTGCGTGGTGTGTAGTGAGTGGGGTAGTGAGTGGTGTAGTGAGTGGATTGTGTGGTGTGTAGTGGGTGGTGTAGTGGGTGGTGTAGTGAGTGGTGTAGTGAGTGGTGTAGTGAGTGGTGTAGTGGGTGGTGTAGTGAGTGGTGTAGAGAGTGGATTGTGTGGTGTAATGAGTGGTGTAGTGAGTGGTGTAGTGAGTGGATTGTGTGGTGTGTAGTGAGTGGTGTAGTGAGTGGTGTAGTGAGTGGATTGTGTGGTGTGTAGTGGGTGGTGTAGTGAGTGGTGTAGTGAGTGGAGTAGTGAGTGGATTGTGTGTTGTGTAGTGGGTGGTGTGGTGAGTGGTGTAGTGAGTGGATTGTGTGGTGAGTGGTGAAGTGGGTGGTGTAGTAAGTGGATTGTCTGGTGTGTAGTGAGTGGTGTAGTGATTGGATTGTGTGGTGTGTAGTGAGTGGTGTAGTGGGTGGTGTAGTCAGTGGTGTAGTGAGTGGTGTAGTGAGTGGTGTAGTGTGTGGTGTAGTGAGTGGTGTAGTGAGTGGTGTGTAGTGAGTAGAGTAGTGAGTGGTGTAGTGAGTGGTGTGTAGTGAGTAGAGTAGTGAGTGGTGTGTAGTGAGTGGTGTGTAGTGAGTGGTGTAGTGAGTGATGTAGTGAGTGGTGTAGTGAGTGATGTAGTGAGTGGTGTAGTGAGTGGTGTAGTGGGTGGTGTAGTGAGTGGTGTAGTAAGTAGAGTAGTGAGTGGTGTAGTGAGTGGTGTGTAGTGAGTAGAGTAGCGAGTGGTGTGTAGTGAGTGGTGTGTAGTGAGTGGTGTAGTAAGTAGAGTGGTGGAGTAGCGAGCAACGAATGCTCACCGGGTGAGTGTGGTGAGCGAGCAGGCACGCGTCCAGGAAGGCGAGCGTTCGATCCACGCCACGCCGCTCACGCTTACTCGACGCTGTGGGGCCTTCGTCATCAGCTGCCGGGGCCTGCGTCACAACCACCACCACGCGTCACAACCACCACCACCACACGTCACAACAACCACCACCACACGTCACAACCACCACCACCACACGTCACAACAACCACCACCACACGTCACAACAACTACAACCACCACCACACGTCACAACAACTACAACCAACACCACACGTCACAACAACCACCACCACACGTCACAACAACTACAACCACCACCACACGTCACAACAACTACAACCACCACCACACATCACAACAACCACCACCACACGTCACAACAACCACCACCACACGTCACAACAACTACAACCACCACCACACGTCACAACAACCACCACCACACGTCACAACAACCACCACCACACGTCACAACAACTACAACCACCACCACACGTCACAACAACCACCACCACACGTCACAACAACTACAACCACCACCACACGTCACAACAACCACCACCACACGTCACAACAACCACCACCACACGTCACAACAACTACAACCACCAGCACACGTCACAACAACCACTACCACACCTCACAACAACTACAACCACCACCACACATCACAACAACTACAACCAACACCACACGTCACAACAACTACAACCACCACCACACGTCACAACAACAACAACCAACACCACACGTCACAACAACCACCACCACACGTCACAACAACTACTACTACCACCACACGTCACAACAACTACAACCAACACCACACGTCACAACAACCACCACCACACGTCACAACAACTACAACCACCACCACACGTCACAACAACCACCACCACACGTCACAACAACCACAACCACACGTCACAACTACTACAACCACCACCACACGTCACAACAACTACAACCACCACCACACATCACAACAACCAACACCACACGTCACAACAACCACCACCACACGTCACAACAACTACAACCACCACCACACGTCACAACAACCACCACCACACGTCACAACAACCACCACCACACGTCACAACAACTACAACCACCAGCACACGTCACAACAACCACTACCACACCTCACAACAACTACAACCACCACCACACATCACAACAACTACAACCAACACCACACGTCACAACAACTACAACCACCACCACACGTCACAACAACTACAACCAACACCACACGTCACAACAACCACCACCACACGTCACAACAACTACTACTACCACCACACGTCACAACAACTACAACCAACACCACACGTCACAACAACCACCACCACACGTCACAACAACTACAACCACCACCACACGTCACAACAACCACCACCACACGTCACAACAACCACAACCACACGTCACAACTACTACAACCACCACCACACGTCACAACAACTACAACCACCACCACACATCACAACAACCAACACCACACGTCACAACAACCACTACCACACCTCACAACAACTACAACTACCACCACACGTCACAACAACCACCACCACACGTCACAACAACCACCACCACACGTCACAACAACTACAACCACCACCACACGTCACAACAACTACAACCACCACCACACGTCACAACAACCACCACCACACGTCACAACAACCACCACAACACGTCACAACAACTACAACCACCACCACACGTCACAACAACCACCACCACATGTCACAACAACTACAACCACTACCACACGTCACAACAACTACAACCAACACCACACGTCACAACAACCACCACCACACGTCACAACAACTACTACCACCACCACACGTCACAACAACTACAACCACCACCACATGTCACAACAACCACCACCATACGTCACAACAACTACAACCACTACCACACGTCACAACAACTACAACCAACACCACACGTCACAACAACCACCACCACACGTCACAACAACTACTACCACCACCACACCTCACAACAACTACAACCACCACCACGCGTCACAACTACTACAACCAACACCACACGTCACAACAACTACAACCACCACCACACGTCACAACAACTACTACCACCACCACACCTCACAACAACTACAACCACCACCACGCGTCACAACTACTACAACCACTACCACACGTCACAACAACTACAACCACTACCACACGTCACAACAACTACAACCAACACCACACGTCACAACAACTACAACCACCACCACACGTCACAACAACTACAACCACCACCACACGTCACAACAACTACAACCACCACCACACGTCACAACAACTACAACCACCACCACACGTCACAACAACTACAACCAACACCACACGTCACAACAACCACTACCACCACCACACGTCACAACAACCACTACCACCACCACACGTCACAACAACTACAACCACCACACGTCACAACAACTACAACCACCACCACACGTCACAACAACCACAACCACCACCACACGTCACAACAACTACAACCAACACCACGCGTCACAACAACTACAACCACCACCACACGTCACAACAACTACAACCACCACCACACGTCACAACAACTACAACCACCACCACACGTCACAACAACTACAACCAACACCACACCTCACAACAACTACAACCACCACCACACGTCACAACAACCACTACCACCACCACACGTCACAACAACTACAACCAACACCACACGTCACAACAACTACAACCACCACCACACGTCACAACTACTACAACCACCACCACACGTCACAACAACTACAACCAACACCACACGTCACAACAACTACAACCACCACCACACGTCACAACTACTACAACCACCACCACACGTCACAACAACTACAACCAACACCACACGTCACAACAACCACCACCACACGTCACAACAACTACTACTACCACCACACGTCACAACAACTACAACCAACACCACACGTCACAACAACCACCACCACACGTCACAACAACTACAACCACCACCACACGTCACAACAACCACCACCACACGTCACAACAACCACAACCACACGTCACAACTACTACAACCACCACCACACGTCACAACAACTACAACCACCACCACACATCACAACAACCAACACCACACGTCACAACAACCACTACCACACCTCACAACAACTACAACTACCACCAGACGTCACAACAACCACCACCACACGTCACAACAACCACCACCACACGTCACAACAACTACAACCACCACCACACGTCACAACAACTACAACCACCACCACACGTCACAACAACCACCACCACACGTCACAACAACCACCACAACACGTCACAACAACTACAACCACCACCACACGTCACAACAACCACCACCACATGTCACAACAACTACAACCACTACCACACGTCACAACAACTACAACCAACACCACACGTCACAACAACCACCACCACACGTCACAACAACTACTACCACCACCACACGTCACAACAACTACAACCACCACCACATGTCACAACAACCACCACCACACGTCACAACAACTACAACCACTACCACACGTCACAACAACTACAACCAACACCACACGTCACAACAACCACCACCACACGTCACAACAACTACTACCACCACCACACCTCACAACAACTACAACCACCACCACGCGTCACAACTACTACAACCAACACCACACGTCACAACAACTACAACCACCACCACACGTCACAACAACTACTACCACCACCACACCTCACAACAACTACAACCACCACCACGCGTCACAACTACTACAACCACTACCACACGTCACAACAACTACAACCACTACCACACGTCACAACAACTACAACCAACACCACACGTCACAACAACTACAACCACCACCACACGTCATAACAACTACAACCACCACCACGCGTCACAACAACTACAACCACCACCACACGTCACAACAACTACAACCACCACCACACGTCACAACAACTACAACCAACACCACACGTCACAACAACCACTACCACCACCACACGTCACAACAACCACTACCACCACCACACGTCACAACAACTACAACCACCACACGTCACAACAACTACAACCACCACCACACGTCACAACAACCACAACCACCACCACACGTCACAACAACTACAACCAACACCACGCGTCACAACAACTACAACCACCACCACACGTCACAACAACTACAACCACCACCACACGTCACAACAACTACAACCACCACCACACGTCACAACAACTACAACCAACACCACACCTCACAACAACTACAACCACCACCACACGTCACAACTACTACAACCACCACCACACGTCACAACAACTACAACCAACACCACACGTCACAACAACTACAACCACCACCACACGTCACAACTACTACAACCACCACCACACGTCACAACAACTACAACCAACACCACACGTCACAACAACTACAACCACCACCACACGTCACAACAACTACAACCACCACCACACGTCACAACAACTACAACCACCACCACACGTCACAACAACTACAACCACCACCACACGTCACAACAACTACAACCAACACCACACGTCACAACTACTACAACCACCACCACACGTCACAACAACTACAACCAACACCACGCGTCACAACAACTACAACCACTACCACACGTCACAACCACCACAACCACCACCACACGTCACAACAACTACAACCAACACCACACGTCACAACCACCACAATCACCACCACACGTCACAACAACTACAACCACCACCACGCGTCACAACAACTACAACCACCACCACGCGTCACAACAACTACAACCACGCATTACAACCACTACCATCACAACCACCACTATGCGTCACAACCACCACCACCATGCATCACAACCACCATCACCACCTGTCAGCCACCACCACAACCACGACTCACTACCACCACGCGTCACAAGCACCACGCGTCACAATCACCACCATCACGCGTCACAAACACCACCACAACCACGACTCACTACCATCACGCGTCACAACCACCACCACAACCATGACTCACTACCACCACGCGTCACAACCAGCACGCGTCACAACCACCACCATCACGCGTCACAAACACCACCACAACCACGACTCACTACCACCACAACCACGACTCACTACCACCACGCGTCACAATCACCATCACCACCATGCGTCACAATCACCATCACCACCATGCGTCACAATCACCTAGACTGGCCCAAACGCCGTGGTGATGTCACCGCCAGTTCATGGCGAATGGGGGCTCTTGTGTGTGTGTGTAGTGTTGTGGTTGCTGAACTGCGCTACAAAGCTGGCAACCCAAGTTCGATTCCCTCTCACAACCAACACCAGTGACGAATATCTAAACTATCCTGGGCCTCCCCTAGGTCGACTCAGCCTCGAACGAGTACCTGGTGCAGTGTGTGAACATCGTCACTGGGGAGACAAAGGCGGCCGGGCGTGGTGCTGGCCACCCACCCCTCGTGTGCCGTGGCGGGCTTCATAGGTGCCGCTAGCTAACAGCACTTGCCCCAGCAGTCTGTTAAGGCTACACGGGGGGATCTTTGTCTTTGTGAGTAGTCCTGAGCTTCCCCTAGGTTGACTCGACCTGAAATTAGTACTTGCCGCAGAGCACAAACGTCGCCGCTAGGGAGACAAAAACGGCCAAGCGCGGTGCCGGCCACCCACCCCCTCCCCCGTTGTGTACCGTGTCCGGCCTTCGTAGGCACTGCTACTAACAAGAAAAATGTGGGGGGGGGGGGGGGGGGGGGGGGGGGGGTTGTGGGGGTGGGGTAGCGGCGGGGGGGGGGGGAGCAGGCAGTGAGCGTGCGTCGCACCTGGTAGCACGCGGGCCGCACTGCTCGCTGCAGCTCCACGTAGCGCGATGGGGTGAGCTCCACGCGGCCCCCGCTGCCCCAGACGGACACGGTCTGGCACGGACATGGGGGGGGGAGGTGACGCAGGCAGCTCGGCTGCCGCTCACGCAGTCCCCTCGGAGTCATCGGTGCCGAGAGGCCCCGCGGGCCGCAAGGCTCCCTCGCGGGAGGGGGTCCTGGCGAGTTCTTGGTTTCGGGCGCGGGGCAACGCCGCTGCTGCGCGCGATCCCAATTGAGTCGTTTGCGGCGACTTTTTTCGGCACTCGGGACGTTTAGGCAATGTCAGCTACACCGTGTGTGTATTGCGTCTATCTCTGGAAGGAAACCCCGTGCAGAGCAAGAGCGGGGGGGGGGGGGGAAATAGAAACTCCACTCACTCTGCTCAACAGGGGGAGGACATACAAACTGCACGCACTCACTCTGTAGAACAGGGGGAGAACACACAAACTGCACTCACTCACTCTCACTCTGCAGAACAGGGGGACATCATACAAACTACACTCACTCACTCTGTAGAACAGGGGGAGATCACACAAACTCCACTCACTCACTCTGTAGAACAGGGGGAGATCACACAAACTCCACTCACTCACACTGTAGAACAGGGCTAGATCACACAAACTCCACTCACTCACTCTGTAGAACAGGGTGAGATCATATAAACTCCACTTACTCTGTAGAACAGGGGGAGATCATACAAACTCCACTCACTCTGTAGAACAGGGGGAGATCACACAAACTCCACTCACTCACTCTATAGAACAGGGGGACATCACACAAACTCCACTCACTCACTCTGTAGAACAGGGGGAGAACACACAAACTCCACTCACTCATCTGTAGAACAGGGGGAGAACACACAAACTCCACTCACTCACTCTGTAGAACAGGGGGAGATCATACAAACTCCACTCACTCACTCTGTAGAACAGGGTGAGATCATACAAACTCCACTCACTCACTGTGTAGTACAGGGGGAGATCACACAAACTCCACTCACTCTGTAGAACAGGGGGAGATCACACAAACTCCACTCACTCTGTAGAACAGGGGGAGATCATACAAACTCCACTCACTCACTGTGTAGTACAGGGGGAGATCACACAAACTCCACTCACTCTGTAGAACAGGGGGAGATCACACAAACTCCACTCACTCTGTAGAACAGCAGGAGAACACACACACTCCACTTACTCACTGTGTAGTACAGGGGGAGAACACACAAACTCCTCTCACTCACTCTGTAGAACAGGGGGACATCATATAAACTCCACTCACTCTGTAGAACAGGGGGAGAACACAAACTCCACTCACTCACTGTGTAGTACAGAGGGAGAACACACAAACTCCACTCACTCTGTAGAACAGGGGTGAACACACAAACTCCACTCACTCACTCTGTAGAACAGGGGGAGATCATACAAACTCCACTCACTCACTCTGTAGAACAGGGTGAGATCATACAAACTCCACTTACTCTGCAGAACAGGGGGAGAACACACAAACTCCATTCACTCACTCTGTAGAACAGGGGGAGAACACACAAACTCCACTCACTCACTCTGTAGAACAGGGGGAAATCATACAAACTCCACTCACTCACTCTGTAGAACAGGGTGAGATCATACAAACTCCACTTACTCTGTAGAACAGGGGGAGATCATACAAACTCCACTCACTCTGTAGAACAGGGGGAGATCACACAAACTCCACTCACTCACACTGTAGAACAGGGCTAGAACACACAAACTCCACTCACTCTGTAGAACAGGGGGAGATCATACAAACTCCACTCACTCACTGTGTAGTACAGGGGGAGATCACACAAACTCCACTCACTCACTCTGTAGAACAGGGAGAGAACACACAAACTCCACTCACTCTGTTGAACAGGGGGAGATCACACAAACTCCACTCGCTCACTCTGTAGAACAGGGGGAGAACACACAAACTCCACTCACTCACTCTGTAGAACAGGGGGAGATCATACAAACTCCACTCAATCACTGCGTAGAACATGGGGAGAACACACAAACTCCACTCACTCACTGTGTAGTACAGGGGGTGAACACACAAACTCCACGCAGAAAGGCATCTGAGTCACAAATAGAATCTCCAGGCCCCTGGTTGCGGCGAAGCGGACGCGCCACCACTGCTGGGCCACAAGCCTGCCGCCCTATGGAAAACATTACAGAATCCATGCACGCGTCTGATTATTCTTCCTGGTCGACTGCGTTATGGAGTGGGGGGTGTTGGGGGGGGGGGGGTACCTTGCTGGTGGTGAACCCCTGTGGAGTGGGGGTTGCCGGGTCGTACTGCGTGCACACCAGCAGCATGTCCGGCAGACCTGAGCCGAACAGCGGAGGAGAATGCACACACGCAAAGACAGAGGTCACCCCGTGTAGCCTTTTAATAGAGTGACACGTCTCGGACCGGGGTTCGTGCAATAAGGCAGATCTGAAACACGGTAGGACCAATACCTCAGCCGTGGCTGATCATTGTTTTAACGCAGTGGGCACACACGAAATTGAATTTTCCAAGACGAAGGTACTCTGCAAACCCACTGGCTATCAACAAAAGATTTGTTTATGAAGCTATCCAGATATATAAACACAGACACAATTTCAACCGAGAAGATGGGTACAAACTGAGCATTCATTGGAAGGACGCTATTAACCAGTTTAAGTCATAACTGGCTGTGATGTTTCCATCCTACCTGCCGATGCCAGTAGTTATTTTCGACTTTCTGGTGTTACATTAACAGGTTAAATGTCTTCACATTAGCAGGTTAAATGTCTTCACATTAACAGGTTACATGTCTCACACTAACACAGCCACCGTTGCTCGTTTTCCTCGATGTGGTGGTGGCTCTACGATCTTACATTGACATGCTAACCTCTCACAATACAATGGCCACCTCCGTAGCTTCATCATCGTGGATGTGGCTCTCCGATTGACCCGATCTGACATTGACATGCAAATTTCATCACTAGCCCCGCCCACTTCGCTTATGAGCCTTGGGCTACGCCCATCTCAAACCTTCATAACATCCTGCATCAGCAGCTCTCCCGCTATTTTTTCACCCGATGACGATTGCTCCTGTTGCGATCGAAACGTTGCAATATTTTTTATTGTTTTTTCTATCTACGTGGCTTTACCGACAGAATATTTTAACAGAGTGTTGGGGCAAGCGCTGCGAGCAAGAGGGTGGGTGGCCAGCACCACGCCCCCAGTGGTGATGTTCACACGCAGCACCAGGTACTCATTTGAGGGCGAGTCAACCTAAGGAAGGCCCAGGACCGATTCAGATTCATTACGTCACTGGTGTTGGCCGTGAGCGGGTGATAGTTTAAAATAAGCACGAAGACTTAAGACGGACGAGTGCAAAACCCACTGAAAATGATGAAACGGCAAAGCGGAGGACTGCCCACCCCTCACGGTGACTGAATCCAGAACCAATGCACCGGGCCTCCTGTGTTCCACGGGGGTCTAGACGGTACTGGTCCAGCTCCCGACAGCCTCTGCTCAACAGTTTGCGTTCGGCTATCCCTCGTGGCCAACCGCAGTTATTTTCTTCTGGTATTCCTGAAGGAACTAAACTATTTTTTTATTTTTTACAACGCTATACAGTAGAACCTCGGAAATCGAACGCACCAGAACTGGAACAAATCGGTGTTCGAACGATAATTCCCAACATTTTTTTGCCCCGGAAACCGAACGAAATTCGGAGGTCGAACGGCAATCGCGACTTCAAAGAACCTGTACACGGCTGAGACGCGTGTGGGCAGCAGCGTGCATGACGCATGCCCAGACAAAGGTTTTACCACCTCCTCATCACCACCTTCCACTCAAGCCATCAACTCTCCTTACTACAGGTAAAGTGAAGTGAAATTATTTCATTTATTTCAAATATTTATTTTGTTTGTTTTTTGTGATTTTATGCATTTAATTACCGTAAACTTCGTGTAAAAATGCTTTATAATGAGAGACTTCTTGTGTCTGGAACCAATTAATGTCATTTACATTAATTCTTATGGGGAAAATTAATTCGGTGTTCGAACAAATCGGTGTTCGAATGGCCTTCGGGAACGAATTAAGTTCGATCTCCGGGGAACCACCGTATAACTTCTTTTTAAAAGCGGCCTGGCCACAAATGATAGCTCAACGAAGTGGCTTATCATCGTGGAAACTTATAGCAGCAGGCAAATACTCTAAACGCGCATTGATTTTGATTCTAAACATGGAGCCGGAGGACCCGGAAAAAAATCTGAGCAACCACGAGGAGATGAACACGTATGAGGCTTTCGCGACCAATATTATTCATAATAAAGGTTTTTTGGATTAGATCGCGTTATTTATAAATTGCCCGATGATGCTGGATGTATTTACCAACGAAACGGCGTACTCAAAATTGTAAATGATGTTGATTCACTCAACACACCGGTGGGCTGAAGTAGTGAACTATTTTGTCTTTTGTCAACGTGACACATTTTTTACTGTTTGGCCATGTCGGGTGGTGGAGGGTTACGACACATTTATAAATAACGCGATCTAACCCAAAAACCTTTATTATGAACCACGGGGAGAGACAGCGCAAACTCCAAATATACAGCAGCAGGTGTCAGGTTGGGGATAGAGACCACAAACTCCTGTATACCAGGCGAGGTAGTTAACATCTCACTACCGTGGCACCCAACGTGGAACATGAGGGGAGTAGTCAGTCTCCTGGCCCTGGCAAATTGAGTTCGGCATGCACACGCAATGAGTGAATCAGTGAGTGAATTGGAGTGATTGAATCCGCGAGAGTTACGCTACTTATCCCTTGTTCGCTTCTCACCGATGAACTTTGCGAACCCCTCCCCGTATTCCTCCAGCACCTCCTGCTGCTCCACCCTGCAGCAGGAGCAGTGGCAACAGCAGCAACAGCAGCAGGGCAACAGTGATGGGAGCTATAATCATGAGATAGAACCAGCAGCGGGAACCTGGTCTTGATCACTCAGAGGAGACCTGTGCCGTCGCTCGCGGCCAGTGTCCCGTCCCTCATGGCGAGTGTCCCTCACTGTGAGTGTCCCTCATGGCGAGTGTCCCTCACTGTGAGTGTCCCTCACTGTGAGTGTCCCTCACGGCGAGTGTCCCTCATGGCGAGTGTCCCTCATGGTGAGTGTCCCTCATGGCGAGTGTCCCTCACGGTGAGTGTCCCTCATGGTGAGTGTCCCTCACGGCGAGTGTCCCTCATGGCGAGTGTCCCTCATGGTGAGTGTCCCTCATGGCGAGTGTCCCTCACGGTGAGTGTCCCTCACTGTGAGTGTCCCTCACGGCGAGTGTCCCTCATGGCGAGTGTCCCTCAAGGCGAGTGTCCTTCATGGTGAGTGTCCCTCACTGTGAGTGTCCCTCACTGTGAGTGTCCCTCATGGCGAGTGTCCCTCACTGTGAGTGTCCCTCATGGCGAGTGTCCCTCACTGTGAGTGTCCCTCATGGCGAGTGTCCCTCACTGTGAGTGTCCCTCATGGCGAGTGTCCCTCATGGCGAGTGTCCCTCACTGTGAGTGTCCCTCACTGTGAGTGTCCCTCACTGTGAGTGTCCCTCATGGCGAGTGTCCCGTCCCTCATGGCGAGTGTCCCTCACGGTGAGTGTCCCTCACTGCGAGTGTCCCTCACTGTGAGTGTCCCTCAAGGCGAGTATCCCTCATGGCGAGTGTCCCTCATGGCGAGTGTCCCTCATGGCGAGTGTCCCTCACTGTGAGTGTCCCTCACGGTGAGTGTCCCTCATGGCGAGTGTCTCTCACTGTGAGTGTCCCTCACGGTGAGTGTCCCTCACTGTGAGTGTCCCTCACGGTGAGTGTCCCTCACTGTGAGTGTCCCTCAAGGCGAGTGTCCCTCATGGCGAGTGTCCCTCATGGCGAGTGTCCCTCACGGTGAGTGTCCCTCACTGTGAGTGTCCCTCATGGCGAGTGTCCCTCACTGTGAGTGTCCTTCATGGCGAGTGTCTCTCACTGTGAGTGTCCCTCACTGTGAGTGTCCCTCACTGTGAGTGTCCCTCACTGCGAGTGTCCCTCACTGTGAGTGTCCCTCACTGTGAGTGTCCCTCACTGTGAGTGTCCCTCATGGCGAGTGTCTCTCACTGTGAGTGTCCCTCACTGTGAGTGTCCCTCACTGTGAGTGTCCCTCACTGCGAGTGTCCCTCATGGCGAGTGTCCCTCACTGTGAGTGTCCCTCATGGCGAGTGTCCCTCATGGCGAGTGTCCCGTCCCTCACTGTGAGTGTCCCTCACGGTGAGTGTCCCTCACTGTGAGTGTCCCTCACTGTGAGTGTCCCTCACTGTGAGTGTCCCTCATGGCGAGTGTCCCTCACTGTGAGTGTCCCTCACTGTGAGTGTCCCTCACTGTGAGTGTCCCTCACTGTGAGTGTCCCTCACTGTGAGTGTCCCTCACTGTGAGTGTCCCTCACTGTGAGTGTCCCTCACTGTGAGTGTCCCTCACTGTGAGTGTCCCTCACTGTGAGTGTCCCTCACGGTGAGTGTCCCTCATGGCGAGTGTCCCTCACGGTGAGTGTCCCTCACTGTGAGTGTCCCTCACTGTGAGTGTCCCTCATGGCGAGTGTCCCTCACGGTGAGTGTCCCTCACGGTGAGTGTCCCTCACTGCGAGTGTCCCTCACGGTGAGTGTCCCTCACTGCGAGTGTCCCTCACGGTGAGTGTCCCTCATGGTGAGTGTCCCTCATGGCGAGTGTCCCTCACGGTGAGTGTCCCTCATGGTGAGTGTCCCTCACTGTGAGTGTCCCTCATGGCGAGTGTCCCTCACTGTGAGTGTCCCTCACTGTGAGTGTCCCTCACTGTGAGTGTCCCTCACTGTGAGTGTCCCTCACTGCGAGTGTCCCTCACTGTGAGTGTCCCTCACTGTGAGTGTCCCTCACTGTGAGTGTCCCTCATGGCGAGTGTCCCTCACTGTGAGTGTCCCTCATGGCGAGTGTCCCTCATGGCGAGTGTCCCTCACTGTGAGTGTCCCTCACTGTGAGTGTCCCTCACTGCGAGTGTCCCTCACTGTGAGTGTCCCTCACTGTGAGTGTCCCTCACTGTGAGTGTCCCTCACTGTGAGTGTCCCTCATGGCGAGTGTCCCTCATGGCGAGTGTCCCTCACGGTGAGTGTCCCTCATGGTGAGTGTCCCTCATGGCGAGTGTCCCTCACTGTGAGTGTCCCTCACTGTGAGTGTCCCTCACTGTGAGTGTCCCTCACTGTGAGTGTCCCTCACGGTGAGTGTCCCTCATGGCGAGTGTCCCTCACTGTGAGTGTCCCTCACTGTGAGTGTCCCTCACTGTGAGTGTCCCTCATGGCGAGTGTCCCTCACTGTGAGTGTCCCTCATGGCGAGTGTCCCTCACTGTGAGTGTCCCTCACTGTGAGTGTCCCTCATGGCGAGTGTCCCTCACTGTGAGTGTCCCTCACGGTGAGTGTCCTTCACTGCGAGTGTCCCTCACGGTGAGTGTCCATCATGGCGAGTGTCCCTCACGGCGAGTGTCCCTCACTGCGAGTGTCCCTCACGGTGAGTGTCCTTCACTGCGAGTGTCCCTCACTGTGAGTGTCCCTCACTGTGAGTGTCCCTCACGGTGAGTGTCCCTCACGGCGAGTGTCCCTCACTGCGAGTGTCCCTCATGGTGAGTGTCCCTCATGGCGAGTGTCCCGTCCCCTCACTGCGAGTGTCCCTCACTGTGAGTGTCCCGTCACTCACAGTGAGGCGAGGGGGACCTGGGCTGCGAGCGGCGGCGGCTCCACCAGCTCCAGGTTGTCGTGCGTGAGGTTGGGCGCCGTGCCGCCGCGTGTGTACAGGAGGCACGCGGGGAGCTCCAAGCTCCTCCCTCCCAACAGGAGCTCCCCGACGCGGCAACCCGCCACGGCGCTCGACAGCTTCAGCCGCATCGCCACCGCCGCCACCGCCGCCACTGCCGCCACTGCCGCCACAAGGCAAAACGGGAGACAAGAAGGAGCGGGTGGGAGATGTTAGAGAAGCGCTTTCAGCTGGAGCTTCCGAGGACGTCTGGAACACCGCTGCACTCAATTGGCAAACTAATTCGTGTAGAACTGATTTTCGTGTTTAGTTTGCCGTCCGTCGCTCCCGCACATTCCGCTCGGCACGACTGGCTGGGTACGGTGCGAAAGAAGTTCAGCACACGTCCGTACGAGTCTCCGGTTTTCTGTGGGTCTCTGTGAGTTTCTTGCTTCCAGTATCAGGACGTCACTGGAGCGAAGCACTTTTGAACCACCTAGATTGAAAGCTCATTTCTTTAGAACTGCTTTGTGCGTGTCAGTTGGTGGTCCTTCCGCGCCGCACCTGCGATTAGCGCGGTTGGCTACGTACGGTGCGAAAGTTGAATATAAATACATCATCACTCCCTGCTGGGGACAATAAAATAAATACCACACACAAATACATATCGATCTCCCCTCCCTATATAGCCACTAACAGACTGTTGGAGGCAAGTGTCGTTAGCGAGTTGCAGCGATTAAAACCGGCACGGCACACAAACACCATGCCCAGGGCCGCCTTTGTCTCCCCCAATGCTGATGTTTAATACATGCAGCAGCAGGCACTCACTTAAGGCTGAGTCGACCTAAGAGGAAGTCTGTCGAGGAATAGTTCAGATTTTCGCTGTCGCTATGATTGGTCGTGATCGGCAATGGAACTCTGTTTTGCCAGGTTCGTAGGGCAGTGCAGCGCGAACCACTGCACCACCGAAGACAGAAAGATACACACACACACACATATAGAGACCCAGACACACAGACATATAGAGACCCAGACACACAAACATATAGAGACCCAGACACACAGACATATAGAGACCCAGACACAAACATATAGACCCCGACACACAAACATATAGACCCAGACACACAGACATATAGAGACCCAGACAGACAAACATATAGAGACCCAGACACACAGACATATAGAGACCCAGACACACAGACATATAGAGACCCAGACACACAACCATATAGAGACCCAGACACACAGACATATAGAGACCCAGACACACAGACATATAGAGACCCAGACACACAAACATATAGAGACCCAGACACACAGACATATAGAGACCCAGACACAAACATATAGACCCCGACACACAAACATATAGACCCAGACACACATACATATAGAGACCCAGACAGACAAACATATAGAGACCCAGACACACAGACATATAGAGACCCAGACACACAGACATATAGAGACCCAGACACACAACCATATAGAGACCCAGACACACAGACATATAGAGACCCAGACACACAAACATATAGAGAACCTGACACACAGACATATAGAGACCCAGACACACAGATATATAGAGACCCAGACACACAGACATATAGAGACCCAGACACACAAACATATAGAGACCCAGACACACAAACATATAGAGACCCAGACACACAGACATATAGAGACCCAGACACACAGACACACAAACATATAGAGACCCAGACACACAGATATATAGAGACCCAGACACACAGACATATAGAGACCCAGACACACAGACATATAGAGACCCAGACACACAGACATAGAGAGACCCAGACACACAGACATAGAGACCCAGACACACAAACATATAGACCCAGACACACAAACATATAGAGACCCAGACACACAGACATATAGAGATCCAGACACACAGACAAATAGAGACCCAGATACACAAACATATAGAGACCCAGACACACAAACATATAGAGACCCAGACACACAGAAATATAGAGACCCAGACACACAAACATATAGAGACCCAGACACACAAACATATAGAGACCCAGACACACAGACATATAGACCCAGACAAACAGACATAGAGACCCAGACACACAAACATATAGAGACCCAGACACACAAACATATAGACCCAGACACACAGAGACCCAGACACGCAGACCCAGACACACACAAACATATAGAGACCCAGACACACAAACATATAGAGACCCAGACACACGAACATATAGAGACCCAGACACACAAACATATAGACCCAGACACACAGAGACCCAGACACGCAGACCCAGACACACACAGACATATAGAGACCCAGACACACGGACATATAGAGACCCAGACACACAAACATATAGAGACCCAGACACACAGACATATAGACACCCAGACACACAAACATATAGAGACCCAGACACACAAACATATAGAGACCCAGACACACAGACATATAGAGACCCAGAAACACAAACATATAGAGACCCAGACACACAGACATATAGAGACCCAGACACACAGACATATAGAGACCCAGACACACAGACATATAGCGACCCAGACACACAGACATATAGAGACCCAGACACACAGACATATAGAGACCCAGACACACAGACATATAGAGACCCAGACACACAGACATATAGCGACCCAGGCACACAAACATATAGAGACCCAGACACACAAACATATAGAGACCCAGACACACAGACATATAGACCCAGACAAACAGACATAGAGACCCAGACACACAAACATATAGAGACCCAGACACACAAACATATAGACCCAGACACACAGAGACCCAGACACACACACACATATGGAGACCCAGACACACAAACATATAGAGACCCAGACACATAAACATATAGAGACCCAGACACACAAACATATAGACCCAGACACACAGAGACCCAGACACGCAGACCCAGACACACACAGACATATAGAGACCCAGACACACGGACATATAGAGACCCAGACACACAAACATATAGAGACCCAGACACACAGACATATAGACACCCAGACACACAAACATATAGAGACCCAGACACACAAACATATAGAGACCCAGACACACAGACATATAGAGACCCAGACACACAAACATATAGAGACCCAGACACACAGACATATAGAGACCCAGACACACAGACATATAGAGACCCAGACACACAAACATATAGAGACCCAGACACACAGACATATAGAGACCCAGACACACAGACATATAGAGACCCAGACACACAGACATATAGAGACCCAAACACACAGACATATAGAGACCCAGACACACAAACATATAGAGACCCAGACACACAGACAAATAGAGACCCAGACACACAGACATATAGAGACCCAGACACACAGACATATAGAGACCCAGACACACAAACATATAGACCCAGACACACAGAGACCCAGACACGCAGACCCGGACACACACACACACATATAGAGACCCAGACACACAAACATATAGAGACCCAGACACACAAACATATAGAGACCCAGACACACAAACATATAGAGACCCAGACACACAAACATATAGAGACCCAGACACACAGACCCAGACACACATACATATAGAGACCCAGACATATAGAGACCCAGACACACAAACATATAGAGACCCAGACACACAGACATAGAGACCCAGACACACAGACATATAGAGACCCAGACACACAAACATATAGAGACCCAGACACACAGACATAGAGACCCAGACACACAGACATATAGAGACCCAGACACACAAACATATAGAGACCCAGACACACAGACCCAGACACAGAGCCAAACACGCAGACACACAGACCCAGACACACAGAGACTCAGACACAGAGACTCGCAGAGACCCAGACACGCAGACCCAGACACGCAGACACACAGACCCAGACACACAGAGACTCGCACAGAGACCCAGACACACAGGGACCCAGACACACAGAGACCCAGACACACAGAGACCCAGACACACAGAGACTTGCACAGAGACCCACACAGAGACCCAGACACACAGACCCAGACACACAGAGACTCGCACAGGGACCCAGACACAGGGACCCAGACACACAGAGACCCAGACACACTGAGACTCAGACACACTGAGACTCAGACACACAGAGACCCAGACACACAGGGACCCAGACACACAGAGACCCAGACACACAGGGACCCAGACACACAGAGACTCAGACACACAGAGACTCAGACACACAGGGACCCAGACACACAGGGACCCAGACACACATGGACCCAGACACACAGAGACCCAGACACACAGGGACCCAGACACACAGGGACCCAGACACACAGAGACCCAGACACACAGGGACCCAAACACACAGAGACCCAGACACACAGGGACCCAGACACACAGAGACTCAGACACACAGAGACCCAAACACACAGAGACCCAGACACACAGGGACCCAGACACACAGAGACCCAGACACACAGCGACCCAGACACACAGGGACCCACACAGGGACCCATACACACAGAGACCCAGACACACAGCGACCCAGACACACAGAGACCCAGACACACAGGGACCCACAAAGGGACCCATACACACAGAGACCCATACACACAGAGACCCAGACACACAGAGACCCAGACACACAGAGACCCAGACACAGAGACTCGCACAGAGACACACACAGAGACCCACACAGGGACCCAGACACACAGAGACTCAGACACACAGAGACCCAGACACACAGAGACCCAGACACACAGAGACTCAGACACACAGAGACCCAGACACACAGGGACCCAGACACAAAGAGACTCAGACACACAGAGACCCAGCCACACAGAGACCCACACAGAGACCCAGACACACACATACCCAGACACACAGAGACCCAGACACACACAGACCCAGACACACACAGAGACCCAGGCACACAGAGACTCAGACACACAGAGACCCAGGCACACAGAGACTCAGACACACAAGAGACCCAGACACACTGAGACCCAGACACACAGGAACCCAGACAGTTGCCGCGCCTGGAGGTGAGACTCGAACCAGCAAGTCCATCGCTGCTTGCTGACCACTGTGCCAAGGCAGAATCTCTACACGTGTACAGTAGAGTACCCAATGCGTGTACAGTACCCCATGCATGTACAGTACTCCACGTGTAGTCTTCCACGCATGTACAGTACAGTACCCCATGCGTGTACAGTACTCCACGTGTAGTCTTCCACGCATGTACAGTACCCCATGTGTGTACAGTACTCCACGTGTAGTATTCCACGCATGTACAGTACCCCATGTGTGTACAGTACCCCATGTGTGTACAGTATTCCACGTGTGTACAGTACTCCACGTGTGTACAGTATTCTACGTGTGTACAGTATTCTACGTGGGTACCGTCCAGTCGGTGACAGGCAGTGGGAATCGAACTCGGGTAGCTGAGTTAGTGGCGAGGCGCGCTCCTACCGCTTACACGACTGCTCTCCATGGAGACTCACACACACAGAGACTGAGACTCACACACACAGAGGCTGAGACTCACACAGAGACTGAGACTCACACACAGAGACTGAGACTCACACACAGAGACTGAGACTCACACACAGAGACTGAGACTCACACACACAGAGGCTGAGACTCACATACACAGAGGCTGAGACTCACAGAGACTGAGACTCACACACACAGAGGCTGAGACTCACACTCACAGAGACTGAGACTCACAGACAGACTGAGACTCACAAACACAGACTGAGACTCACACACACATAGACTGAGACTCACAGACAGACTGAGACTCACACACACAGAGACTGAGACTCACAGACAGACTGAGACTCACACACACAGAGGCTGAGACTCACACAGAGACTGAGACTCACACACAGAGACTGAGACTCACACACAGAGACTGAGACTCACACACAGAGACTGAGACTCACACACACAGAGGCTGAGACTCACATACACAGAGGCTGAGACTCACAGAGACTGAGACTCACACACACAGAGGCTGAGACTCACACTCACAGAGACTGAGACTCACAGACAGACTGAGACTCACAAACACAGACTGAGACTCACACACACATAGACTGAGACTCACAGACAGACTGAGACTCACACACACAGAGACTGAGACTCACAGACAGACTGAGACTCACACACACAGAGACTGAGACTCACAGACAGACTGAGACTCACACACACAGAGACTGAGACTCACAGACAGACTGAGACTCACAAACACAGACTGAGACTCACACACACATAGACTGAGACTCACAGACAGACTGAGACTCACACACACAGAGACTGAGACTCACAGACAGACTGAGACTCACACACGCAGAGACTGAGACTCACAGACACATAGACTGAGACTCACAGACACAGACTGAGACTCACACACACATAGACTGAGACTCACAGACACATAGACTGAGACTCACAGACACAGACTGAGACTCACACACACAGAGACTGAGACTCACAGACAGACTGAGACTCACAAACACAGACTGAGACTCACACACACAGAGACTGAGACTCACACACACAGAGACTGAGACTCACAAACACAGACTAAGACTCACAGACACAGACTGAGACTCACAGACACAGAGACTGAGACTCACAGACACAGACTAAGACTCACAGACACAGACTGAGACTCACACACACATAGACTGAGACTCACAGACACAGACTGAGACTCACACACACAGAGACTGAGACTCACAGACAGACTGAGACTCACACACACATAGACTGAGACTCACAGAGACTGAGACTCACAGACACACAGACTGAGACTCACAGACATAGACTGAGACTCACAGACACAGACTGAGACTCACACACACAGAGACTGAGACTCACACACACAGAGACTGAGACTCACAGACACAGAGGCTGAGACTCACAGACACAGAGACTGAGACTCACAGACACAGAGGCTGAGACTCGCACTCACAGAGACTGAGACTCACAGACACAGACTGAGACTCACAAACACAGACTGAAACTCACACTCACATAGACTGAGACTCACAGACACAGAGACTGAGACTTACAGACACAGAGGCTGAGACTCGCACTCACAGAGACTGAGACTCACAAACACAGACTGAGACTCACAAACACAGACTGAGACTCACAGACACACAGACTGAGACTCACACACACAGACTGAGACTCACAGACACAGAGACTGAGACTCACAGACACAGACTGAGACTCACACTCACAGAGGCTGAGACTCACAGACAGACTGAGACTCACAAACACAGACTGAGACTCACAGACACACAGACTGAGACTCACACACACAGACTGAGACTCACAGACACAGAGACTGAGACTCACAGACACAGACTGAGACTCACACTCACAGAGGCTGAGACTCGCACTCACAGAGACGCCGCCACCGCGAGCCAGGGCAGAGACGCACGCGCCCGTGACGTCACGCAGCGGGCCCCTCCCCCCCCCCCGAACTGAGCCGCCAGAGATGGTATCGCCCGCTTGGGGGGAGGGGGAGGCAGCCCCCGCACTGCGCTCCCCCCCACCTGCACTGCGCCCCCCGCTGCACTTCGCTCCTCCCCACCTGCACTGCGCCCCCCCCCCCCCTGAACTGAACCCCCAGCGATGGTATCGCCCGCTTGGGTGGGGGGGGTAGCCCGGAGCGGGCCCTCTCGCTCACAGCCACAGAGCCGCGCAGAGTCGCAGATTCACTTCGCTTTGGTGACCCGCTCGCGTCACGCCGGCGAATGAGACGCAAGCTTCACCCGTGTGGTGAAATACTCTCCACATCCACTCACTCACTCCTCCACTCGTGTCCAGGGGTCGAACTACCCGACTACTGATCGAGTCCTATCCACTCACTCAACCAGCCACTCGCCCAGCCACTCGCCCAGTCACTCGCCCAGTCACTCCCCCAGCCACTCACCCAGACACTCACCCACCCACTCACGCACCCAGACACTCGCCCAGCCACTCGCCCAGACACTCACCCAGTCACTCACCCAGCCACTCACCCAGCCACTCACCCACCCAGACACTCACCCACCCACTCACGCACCCAGACACTCGCCCAGCCACTCGCCCAGACACTCGCCCAGACACCCAGTCACTCACCTAGACACTCACCCAGTCACTCACCCAGACACTCACCCAGTCACTCACCCAGTCACTCACCCAGACACTCACCCAGTCACTCGCCCAGACAGTCACCCAGACACTCACCCAGTCACTCGCCCAGACACTCACCCAGACACTCACCCAGTCACTCGCCCAGACACTCGCCCAGACACTCACCCAGACACTCACTCAGTCACTCACCCAGACACTCACCCAGTCAGTCACCCAGACACTCACCCACTCACCCAGTCACTCGCCCAGACACTCGCCCAGACACTCACCCAGTCACTCACCCAGACACTCACCCAGACACTCACCCAGTCACTCACCCAGACACTCACCCAGTCACTCACCCACCCACTCACCGACACACCCACTCACTCAACTCACCCACTCAACTCACCCACTCAACTCACCCACTCAACGACTCACCCACCCACACACTGACCCACTCACAAACTCAACCATTATACTCCCCTTCTAAACTATCCATACTGTGTTCAACCACCAAACTGCAGGTCACAACACACTCACAAATTCAACTACTCATCCATTCACTCACCTACTCACCCACCCACTCACTCACCCACCCACTCACCCACCCACTTACTCACCCAGCCACTCACCCACCCACCCACTCACTCACCCACCCACTCACTCACCCAGCCACTCACCCACCCACTTACCCAGCCACTCACCCACCCACTCACTCACCCAGCCACTCACCCACCCAGCCGCTCACCCACCCACTCACCCACCCAGCCACTCACCACCCACCCACTCACCCACCCAGCCACTCACTCACCCAGCCACTCACCCACCCAGCCACTCACCCACTCACCCACCCACTCACCCACCCAGCCACTCACCCAGCCACTCACCCACCCAGCCACTCACCCACCCACCCACTCACCCACCCACTCACCCACCCACCCACTCACCCACCCACTCACCCACCCACCCACTCACCCACCCACCCAGCTACTCACCCAGCCACTCTGCAGGTCAGAACACGCTTTCTGCTTCTTCTCTCGAACTGCTGCACTTTGGGATTCCTTCCTCCCACCGTCTCTCTGCAGTTCTGTGAAAGGGGCCGTCCATAAATTACGTCACGCGATTTTGGATGCTTTTTGACTCCCCCTCATCGTCACACGGCGTCACAAAAAGTCAGACGCCCCTCAAATATGACGTCACAAAGCTCTGCCCCGCCCCCCCCCCCCAAAAAAAATATAAAACATGCTTCATATTGCTTTAAACTATTGTCATTGTAGTGCGTATTTAATGGGGCGCTGCACTCTGATATTGTAGAAAACATTTATTAAAAAGTCTTTAATTAAGTAGAACGTGTTTTGCGCATTTTGATGTGACGTCACATTTCTCAACCCCCCCCCCCCCTCGTCACACATCGTCACAAATGTCTGACCACCCCCCCCCACACCCCCCAGGTGCGTGACGTCATTTATGGACGTCCCCAGAGCTACTTCCGCGGACTGGTTCTCTTGCCAATGGCGCCTCTGATGGGCTGCGGCTGCATGTTCAGCGTGTCCCCTCTCACGGTCTCAGTCCCGTCGTAGGCGCGCGTTGGGCATCCGTAACTCCGTTCCCCCGGGCGGTGACGGTGGCTGCCTGTAGCAGCAGCAGCGTCGTCGAGGCAGCAGCGCGGGTTGGATCACCGCACCGGGTATATTATTTGAGTCTGAGTCGACCTAGGGGAGACCCAGGACCGGTTGAGACAATTGTCGCTGGCATGGAATTCGGGTCGTTGGTTTCTCAGCGCAGTGCGCTAACCGCTACGCTACCGCTCCCCATAACCGCTACGCTACCGCTCCCCATAACCGCTACGCTACCGCTCCCCATTACCGCTACGCTACCACTCCCCATAACAGCTACGCTACCCCTCCCCCTAACCGCTACGCTACCGCTCCTCATAACCGCTCCGCTACCGCTCCCCATAACCGCTACGCTACCGCTCCCCATAACCGCTACGCTAACGCTCCCCATAACCGCTACGCTACCGCTCCCCATAACCGCTACGCTACCGCTCCCCATAACCGCTACACTACCGCTCCCCATAGCCGCTACACTACCGCTCCCCATAACCGCTATGCTACCGCTCCCCATAGCAACTACACTATCGCTCCCCATAACAGCTACACTACCGCTCCCCATAACCGCTACACTACCGCTCCCCATACCCGCTACGCTACCGCTCCCCATACCCGCTACACTACCGCTCCCCATAACCGCTACACTACCGCTCCCCATAACCGCTACACTCCCAGCCAACAGCTGTACCCCCCCCCCCCCTCCTGCCAGATGTTCGCCCAACCCCCCACGCTCCCTTCCCCCTCCACTCCACGCGTGTTAAATTTCCGATAAGAACAGCCGACGCGGCACCAGCAACATCACGGATGGGGCCTCTCTCTGTGTAAGAACGCGCACGATCTGGAAGCGCCGGGGCGGCGTTGCTTGTCGAGAAAATGTGAATTTAAAAAAATAAAAATAAATTGTATATTCGCGACTTATGTTTTATTAAAACCGCGAATCTCGACGAGGAGAGTTTAGCCCCCCCCCCCTCCCCCCCCGTTGTATATGTCGGTTATGAAAATTTTGATGAAAATAATAAAAATGAAATGAAATTTGGGAAGTAACGTAATGATTCGAAATTATGTTAATTGCTGCAATTATGCGCATAAATTATGCTAATTAGAGAGGTAATCTTATTAATTTATTCGAGTGTTTGTGCTTATGCTAATACGAACCGTTATGATAATTAGGCCCCGCCTCGCTGACGAGGGTCGGGTTATCAATCGGGATCATACAATTAATCGTATGAAGTTATACCAGTGTGATGCGGGTATGCCAGTGTAAGCTCCGCTTTATTGTTTAGGTCCGTATTAACGCTCGGCAATACAATTATTCTCGCTTTAACATTTACTGTGTATTAGTGTGTTCATGTCAGGGCTCCAAATTCAGATCTCAACGCAGAATACAGTTCTCGTAAATAAGATTATTACGCATGAAACAGGAAGGAAAGACACCAAACTTCTGTGCTTAAGCAATTTATTCTAAATGAAACCTTAACTCTAATATAACATGTGAACTCTCAATCTTGGAATTTTCAACACAGTATCGATACAGTAACCATCGACGATTGCGTTGTTTCACTTTGGTAACGACACGTGTGATTAATTCCACCGCGTAACGCGAGCTCAGTTGGTGAGAGAGAGAGGGTCGTTAACACACGCATGCTATTCTACACAAAAACCTTAACGCTATAATATGCAAATTCGTATACTTAAAATTGGCCACACAGTACCGCGCTCATTCATGAATCCATATGCAACCCTCAATGCAAATTCTTATCACATTGTTACTGGGTCTCAGAGTAATTGATTCTTATGCAGTGTAAGACGAGCACGTGCGGCGATTATGAACGAAAGGTCCTTAACAATTATGCGACGATATTCATACGAAAATGCAATCAAAACAGTTATTATTCCCAAAGGTACAAATATACGTCAATAGATTCATCATGCTCATTCATATGATTTAAAAAAATGGCTTGGAGTAAAGGCGTGCGATGGTGTGCGTGCTCTCCCCTGGGCTTCTTAAGTTAGGCCAACTTTAATTAATTGTGGACAGATCGCCTGATAACGAAACTGGTTTGGCACGCTATTCCCCCCCCCACCACCGTGGCGAAGGTGTCAAGGATTAATTCGTATTGATGAATCTATTGGTATTTTATGCGATTAGACGTACAACACAAAACAAAGGAATTAATAAGAAATAAAAATTATTAATGTACTTATAAACGACGGATTGTTATCACCCGGTCTGCCGCGATGCCTTCACGGCCACTGATTGTTCACGTATTTGATGATCAGGCTTCTTGCTAATGACTCGATATGGATTATGTTGAGTAGGCCAGTGTTCGGAATTAATTATTTGCGTCAAGCAGACGTTAGGTTTGTCGTGTGGTGGGGGGGGGCAGAGTGCGTCATACGTATGGTTGATTTCTTCTTTCACAGCAGCCGAGTTCGGCCCACACTGGGTGATGAGTTGACACGGTGCGCTGTAGGCGCGGTGTTCCCACGGTAGATGGCGCTCACAGCTCGTGTTGCGGCTGTTGGCGATGGTGTTCGCCGTTGACTCTCTCTGGTGGCTGATGCTGGGATTCTCGTCAGCTACTTATGATGTTGAATTCGCACCGCATAGCATGTAGCTAAGTAGCGAGTCTCGCGAGCCATTCTGGCGAGTTGTAGAAACTTCTTCTGCGTCGGTGGTGGCTGGTCTTCTGACGGTCGTTCTCTTCTTCTGCTGGCTGATGATGAGCTGGTCCGCCGGTCGAT